AGAGTAACCCGTCACGCACGATTTTATCTGAGTAGGCTCAACAGTATGTTGGGCCGACACAGTAAAATGTCCCTTCGAAACAAGCGTACCCTCTACAAGGTATGTATACGACCAGTCATGTCCTACGCGGGCCCCGTCTTTGCCCACGCAAACCCTAACATTTTAAATGAACTCCAAATAGTTCAGAACCTCTTCTGTCGTCGAGCTGCGAACGCACAGTGGTACGTCCGCAATGCCGACCTTCATCGGGACTTAGAGCTCCCAACAATTCAACAATTTCTTAAAAAACTCTCTGAGAACTTCTTCAAAGCCTCAGAGTCGCACCCAAACCATTTAATTCGTGAGGCAGCTTCTTATGCAGCCCCACCCCCCTCTCGCTATCGTGTCCGCAGGCCGAGAAACTCTCTCTGGACCCGCCTAATAAACTTTCAAAAGACCTGAACCGTCTCCTGGCGGCTCAGGCCAACTCTAATTAAATAAAATTATTGTAATATCTAACATTAATTTGCCTTCGTAGGCACTCCCTCAGCGGCACTTAGCCGCCTGCGCCCTCTTTTCCCAAAAGAGGGTCGCTCATGATAAGGCACAATAGAGCTTAATCAGCCGGTTGCCTGTCCCCAAAGGCGGTTTTTAGAGGGTATCACTTAGGGTCCCCGGTAGGACAGTGAGCCCCTCATAACCACGATAGACCGGCTATCGTGGTATGCGTAATGCATTTTCCGCCTTCCTACGTATAGGGTAGCCCTTTAATTGCTTCGGGCGCAAAAAAAAAAAACGCAAGTTGGCGCGAAATCCGTGTGGTGTCGGTTTTTTACAAAACATCAAAGGATTGTTGGCAGAATTTGGTCGCTGCGTCCACACGTTGGCCGCGCGTTTAGTTTGCTACAAGCTCCCAGAGTGATTACACGCATCTGATTTAAATTTAATATTCAAGCTTTGTAGGGTGGATGCCCCAATTACCAGCCTTTTAGTGCCAATTTCAACTTTAAACATTCCTACTACTTTAATTAGCGCGATTTAATTATTATTAAACATTTGTTTTAATCAATAAGCTATTTATGAACAAAAAAAAATTAACGTTTTTATACAATCAGATTATTACGAGAACAATTTTTAAAATGAAAAAAAATGAAGCACGTCATTTTTACGTGGTAGAACCATGCAATTATATTAGAAGTATAGTTGCAGCACGAAGGTCGGCTCGACCGAGGAAGGACCACGCTCTCACAGAATATCAGCGTAAAATAGTAGTTTAATGATGCTGTGTTTCGTATAGTGAGTGTAGAGAACCCGAGACCCTTTTTTAAAGGAAACGAGGCATTTAATCTTAGTCTCACGGGTGACAACGCATCTGCATTTTGATTTGTAATCGAGGATAGATGTAGATGTCTGTGGGCCACAGTAACCACTTAATATCAGGTGAACTGTGTGCTTGCTTGTCACCCTATCCTATAAAAAAACGTCGATTTCTTATAATTTAATCGTGCAAGATTTCGAATCATCATCATCATTACAGCTGTTCACAAATCCACTACTGAACATCCTCCTCCACAGACTGCCGCAAAGCATGGTCCTGAGCCACTTTGCTCGTCGTGAGTTTTTCATTTATGTTCTAAGTTATAATTAGTACCTATTATTAAGTCAGTGTTAATTATATTTATTGCTATTGTTTTTGTCTTTCTCAAAAAATAATTAAATTACTAAATAAATTATAAGGTGTTTTTTATATACATCAAATGTCTGATAGAAAACTCAATTTTAAAACATAGACTAATCGATTATAACTCCTTTAACTTTAAAATAAGTTAGGTTCTTATTAATGGTATTTATTCCAGTTTACGATGCATGTAAAGAATAAATAAAGCTAATCGTATATCGTATATCTTTTTACAGCCCCATTAATATCCACTATTCTTTTATAATTATTTTATAAAAACGTTACCCCATACACTTGGATTTCTCCTGTATCGCGGAGGCAGCTTACAAACATAAATTGCACAAGGATACACATTCGGTCCCGAAACAATTATTTCTAGGATATACAAATACTTGTTCCGTGCGGGATTCAAACCCGCGGCCCCCGGCACAGCCACTCATTGCTAAGCCACTGCGCCACGGAGCAGTCGTCTATAAAAATAAATTCGTCCGCACATTGGCCCGAACCGAAGTAAACTGAACGACGTTCCAACGTGTGGACGCCGTCACCAACTCTCGGCCAATATATTCGCCACTACATGCACCACTGTATTGGCCAACGTGTAGAGGCGACATTACACAGACGCATACGTTTCGCTAGTGATGTTTCGCATCGCAAAGCGTCAGCTCGCGTTCTGTCGGTGAGGACAGATTTTCGCGCCATGGATGCCGAAAATACTGAATTATTTTTGCATTCTATTCGAGATTATCCCGTATTATACGCAATTGGACACGCAGATTATAAAAATACGTACAAAAAAGAGGTAGCATGGAGAAAACTTCAAGAAAAGACTCGGATAGATGGTAAGAAATTTATTTTTTAAATTTATTTCATACAGGCATACATTTTATGTTTTTAATTTTCTTTGAAATAATTTACAAATTGTGATCGAACATTAAACGCTGCTAAGTCTGCCCTATGTCTATTGGCATGCATTGGTACGAATGCTCTTAAAGTGTCCGAAAATTGTTTATTTTCGTATGTGTGTGCACAAGGACTTCAAGGAGAAAGCTCTTCTTACTGTTCCTGTAAATCCAAGATTCTACAAGCGGTTTGTAAATGACGCTTCAAATTTTTTTACTATCTGACAAAGAAACTGCATTTTTAGACCACCTTAACTCTAAAATACAATGCAGTTGCAAGTAATTATTTAAATTTCCTAGATATTTCCATGTGTGTATATAAAGTTTTAAAAAATAAATAATGTTTTAGTCATCCGAAACCCTAATACCCACCCCCTGAGACCCGTAACAACCGATATTTAAAAGTTGAATCTCACCATAATCCATTGCAGTTAGCTACCATGGGAAAATCTTTGTTTCAGAGTGCACAAAGGATCTGTGACAGAAAACATGGCTGACAAGCTTCAGCACGTCAAGCAAGTATTGCACGACAACTGACTTCGGGTTCCGCGCCTACGTCACAGTGACCGAGTGAAGCCAGCCACGGTTGAGCGTGTGTCTACCATATGTCGGAGGAGTCACAGATGCGGTTGACTACATCTTAAAACGAGTTTCCATTAAAGTCTACTACGAGCCGCCGAAGAAGATTAGTCAATATTTACCATCCGACAAGTGCAATATTCCTCTACAAGATGCAAGAGTGTACAAGCTTGATTGTGAATGTTTTTTCCCTTTAAGAGTTTCCCGTTTTTTCCATTAAGATGACACATCGAAAAGGCTATCGCCGTACTGATCTGAGTGAATACATAATTTCTATAAAAACTTGAAAAAACGCCGTCATAAGGTCTAAAATAGCGTAGCGCCCGCGGCGATTAAAAGCGCTTAGAAATTATTGTCAGAATCTTAAAATATATTTTTAAAAAATTATTGATTTAATTAATTAATTCAAAATAATGAGCAAGTAAATTATGAATATTGATGTTATGAATATATTTGAGTGATTCCCAAGCATTATAGATTAAGTAATTTCGTTATAATTTCAACTATATTGATTTTTAGAGGTGTTTTCGCAAATAATTATGATCGAGTCAAAATTATACAATCGTGTTTTTGAACAACCAAATTCAAGATAAAGATATGAATTTACCTACATCAAAATTCCACTTTCGTTAGTGGTGTCATAGTCCTATACTATTCGATGAAAGGAGATGCATTTTTTTCACGGTGTCGCCTTAAGAGACACCTCTTAATGGAAAAAACTGAAAGATCTATAAAAACCCGCGTGAAAAAACATATAGGTGACGTGAAGCACCGACGCTCCGGGAAGTCTGTGGTCTATGAACACTGTGTTTTTAAGATCGTCCCCGCTTTTACATTCGAATTTGATAGACCACAAATCCTCGCAAAAGAGCACCGATGCCTACAAATGATGTTTCGCGAGGCTATTGAAATTAAAAACCTCTTAATTTCAAAAGAGAAGATGGATGTGGGCTGTCATCTGCTTGGGATCCTAAAATTATAAATTTAAATCCCAAGCATACCACAGCAAGATACTGTAAGCTAGTTTTGCATGGATCGGACCAAAATTGAATATCCGAAAACCGAAGATAGTAAGGCTATGACGGACTACCATAACCTTACTATCGGGACGTCAAACATTCTACCGTGACCATGGGTGCTGTAAAGCACCCGAAACTGTAGTCTAAATATTCAACTAAATAAGGTTTTTGCGGTCGAGCTTGTTTTGATAACGTCGCAAATTGACTTGGTAGAAATATCTCCTGGTTTTTTAATTTTTGCTCGATGGAACTGTGAACCGCATCACACTCCATCTGTGTGTGACCTTTCTCCAAAAATTTTTGTTCTATAACGATGTTTTTTTCATCGATAGTTGTAGCAGAGCATTCGATAGATAAACATTTCTGCGCCGCCACAACGATTCTGCGCCGTACAACCATCAGAATATAAAATGATTGGCATGCATTTCTTCAGTAGTGTTTTTTTAAAACAGTCTATGATGCATGATATAAACACAGAAGCAGTCAAACCAGCGTTACTCTCGTCAAACCAATAGCAGGTAACTTCTTTGTTGGCAAGATTATACATCGTAAAATTATGCACACATAGTTTAGTTTTAAAATATAAAGCACTGGCTTGAAGTTGTGGACATAACTTTACGGCCTGTAAATCTTGTGTAAAAACATGTACGTCATCCAATTGACGAGCCCTCTCTTTATCTTTCACTTTCTCGCTTCTTGCCATGTCTTTTTTCTTAATATGTGATCGATATTCTTCCTGCTATGTTGCCTACCTTGTACGAACAGCAAGTATCGCACTGATCTTTTTTAGGCGAGAACAGGCTTAGATTCAACTCGTCAAAAACTTTGCACTTCGTCCAGCATCTAAGTGGACTTTTCTACTCTTTTTTCGCACTCTTGGATGTACAACCTAAAAAGACAGTTCTTGTTTTCAACAATCGGCTCTAAATACTGTTTCGATGTAGATGCCCTGCAATAGTGCGAGGGCATTTTTGGTAACGAAGCGAAGAACTGTTTGAGGAATGTCATGTCTTCTTTCTTAATAACGCGTTCATCATTGTTGTCGTTTGGTCGTGGTGTTGTTTTAGCAATGCCATGTTCAGATCTATCGATCCAGCATCTTATAGTCGACTCTTTCAAACCCAGAGTGTTCAAAAAAGTCTTCAGACAAACTTGGGTACGTCCCTCTGATGTACTGAGAAAGTACTGTTTACTCTCTCTTCTACGAGAATTAGATTTTACTTTTACTTGCTTTTTTTCACAAACGGAGACGTGATATACAACGTACTGTTTCCGTTGCTCCCAAGTCATGCTTTTCCAGAACTTGCCAAAAATGTTCTCTCTTTCAAGACAAGCTAAAACAGCCACGTAACTTAGACTTCGAGCAAAATGTGGAAGTGCAACGTGAACCAATTGAACGTGCTGGACGTGGCACATCAAGAAGTACATTAAATTTCTCTTGCCCTGAAACTTTCCTGTCCCTACGGTACCCCACATATTCTTCACCTTGCATACGCTTCGGTTTTGTTGTGTTTTTATTCCATTTTTTAGGTTGTGCGAATCCCTTCGATTTCCTTTTTCTATTAGAATTTATATCTTCGATCTCACTGTCAGACGGTAGCTGCTCCAATAGCGACGGTGAATTTCCGGCAGTCGTGGAAAGCGGCTGTACTTCTTCATTTAAACAGGTAGATGGAGCTGAAGGTAAGAATGTCTCTTCAATGTCATTTTCAGGTGGTTGTGTCGCTTCTAATGGCGGTGAAACCTCAACGGACGAAGACAAAGGCTGCAATTCTTCTCTTGGCTGCAAATGTACTATGGTAACCTGTTCAGACGAAAGAGTTATGGTATCCTGAATGTTTTGAGTGCTCAATAGACCCAGCAAAGGCGGAGAAGGAGGCTCGGAAACTATTTCTATTGGTAAGTTATTAATATCGATATTTTCTAAGTCAGTCAGTACCGGTAATATCTTCTGTTTTTTTGTTGGTACTTGTATCTTTAAGTCGCTGCAAAGAATCAACATGTCATCATCAAGTTCTTCGCTATCACTTAATAGAAAATCCATCTTGTATTTCTATGCAATCACCTTGAAAAAAGAGAAAGAAAGTAGGTAAATATAATGGAAACACAACGTAACTCAGAAAATAATCGTAATAATAAATAAACACACTTGTTTTAACAGTTAAACCGTGACCAAATAACATTAAATCGATATTATTAGGAATAAAACATCAAGATATAATTATCACTCATAGCAAATAATACCTTCGAAATCACAAGATCGGAGCACTTGATGCACGACGGGTTTGTACGTGAATAGCTGACATACGCATTGTTGGCACCACCAACTGAGATACGCAATGAACTATTTTTCAAATAACGCGTTGGTATTTGTCAGGAATCGTGTTTTGATCGGTCGACACGATGCGCGCCACAATGCACAACATGTCAAAACACTCACAAAATGACTTACGCACTGTTAGAACTTCACTGACGATATGTTCTCATATACGGGTATAATTATAGCATTGCGTCATCTTTCGCCTGGGTTAGTTCTTTTATCTTGCTTTTTTCTTTATTTATTAAGGGGTTTTTCCATGTCAATTACATTGGAACAAACTGCATATCTATTCAACTATGAATCTGCGCATATCTGGGTTATGTAGAAACCCTGTGCAAATGGTACTTGTTAAATTGCAGAGTTAATGTCAGCCTGAGCCAACACATTTCCTTGTAGTATTTGCGTAAAAAAGTGTATCTGATTATTCCTGTGGGCGTCGAACAGACATGCAATAAGGAAGGATTCATAACCTCTGATAGATAGCTAGATCTTCTTCTGTATTAGCCTATCTACTACCGGATATGGGACTCTCCCGTTGTGAGGAGGACGAGAGAATTAATCGGCACGCTTGGCGATTGATACGGCACGATTCACGACCACAATACCACATTTTCGATGCTACTGCGTGTCGCCGGTCTATGTAAATTTTTCTGGAATGCGATCCCCACTATACGAAAAAGGGTAATGGATTCTCTTACGCTGCCACCATACGGACATAGCGATATACTAACCATCTTGTATATCATCATCATTACAGACTAACAAAGTCCACTGTTGAATGTAAGCCTCCACAGATTGCTTCTTTGGGAAGGGGGGAGATATTTAGTATAGCTGCCACGTTTGGTACGTACATACTAGATATAAAAAAATAATTGAGACATCAAAATTAGCAGTTGTAGCAAATTCCACGTGCTGTGGGACACGCAGCAATCCTAAAAAGTTATTGTTGTAGTTTTTTGATTTGTCTTGCATTTGGAATCAAAAGAAAGAAGGGGAAAAAGCATAATATCGTAGCCACAACATAACACTGCAAATGTAATTCAAAAAAAATAATAAAAGCTTCTCACAGTTATATTGAGGTAAAGCAACTCAAAAACGACTCGGCATATCTATGTTTAGGATCCACATCCGCAACACCGTTATTCTGGCGGTACCTCGTGTTGAAGAATTCACAAATCGGAGGCAGCTTTAAATAAGTTTAAACAGAATTAAGTATTTTGACTTTGATTTTTAACATTCGCGATATTTCGTATAGAGTTAGGACTTAAGAATAAGTATATTTCTATAATATCAAAATATTTCGTGTTACATGCATTTTGAAAAGCCATTTGTCTATAGTTTAAATAAGTTCTTTCATAATTGTTAAACCCATCTGGTACGAGTTTCCTGGCGTCATGAATTGTTTTATTTTATCCTTATATACGAAAGTTTTATTCCGAAAATAGTGAAATTCGGACCTTAGACGTACGCAGATGAGAATGTCAAAACTTTGGTAATTAACGAAGTTTAATCCCTAAATGACTAGCAGTCAAAATTTTGCAGATGTTATGCAAAATTTTGAGTATTAGTTTTTAACGAGAAATTTTTTCGACTAAAATTGTTGCTATAGGCTACAGCTATATTTTTTTTTTCGGTTGGACCGGAGAAGGGACACGACATACCACCACGAATATAACACTAGTATATATAATAACGGCGTATAGCGGCTATGCTTCGTATGGTGAGTGGAGAGCACCGGAGACTTTATTTTTTCATCCATTCCATCTAAGACCTCAGGGGTTAAAACGCATCAGCCTTTTGATTCTTAAGCGATTATAGATATAGGAGACATGGGGCCACAGTAACCTCTTACATTCAGGTGGACTGTTTGCTTGGATGTCACCCTAGTCTTAAACAAAATATTTTATAGCTAATTGAAGATTCAACAATTATACTTATATATACTTAGTTACATTTCTTTAATAGGTAAAATTGTCTGTTTGTTCCAAGTTTCAAGCCCTGTGGAATATTTACTGTAAATTCTAAAAAGTAGCACCGGTGTACAATTTACTGCCATTTGAATGTTTTTTAAATTTTTGTTTTATTTTTTAAGTCAGTGTCACTTATTAATTGTAAAAAATATTCTTACCATAGATTGATTTCTTGCCTAACACCATACTTTTTAATCATTGATATAAGGTCCTACCCAATATAACATTCCATACCATGACCGTAAAAAGTATATGCAAAAAATATATAAGTTAACTCTGGCACAACGCGACCTAGCCTGTGCCAGGTCACCGACCAACATCTCCGTTCACTGTCCACCACTAGTTATATGTCATGACCGGACCGACAGTAATTGTACGACAAAATTATTGGCTGGATCCGTGCATGGCACATGACTACCGAATCGCTCTGTGCGGACAAACGCGTTGCAACTGCGTGTACTGCGTTACGCGTAATATCTGTTCCGGTGCATGTTGACGGACATCATATGTCCTCAAAATATTATATTCCTCAGATATGTAGACTTACTGTTGATGCTTCTCTTGGTGGTGTTTTCCTACACCGCCCAGCAGGAAAAAATCAGCAGTTAAAATTGCAGTTAACAATTATCAATGCCAGCGAATATCGAACCCGTGTTGCTTGCGTACTGTTTTTTATAGATAGGATGACAAACGAGCACACAGTCCACCTGATGGTAAGTGAATGCTGAGGCCCATAGACATCTACATCTATCCCCAATTAGGAATCAAAATGCAGATGCGTTGTCACCCCTGATAACTAAGATGGAATGCCTCGTTTCCACCAAAAAGGGTCTCTGGTTCTGTAGATACTCACCCAACGAAACACAAGCTGATATTTTACGCCGGTATTCTGTGAGAGCGTTGTCCTTACCCGACCAAGCCGACCCATTCATGTGCACTACAAGCATGTTATGGATAGACGCCAGCGTTTGGCAGCAAAAATAGATTTATAGTAAACCAACAGAGCGTTGACGAGAAGTAAATGATTTGTAAAAAGGTGCTATTATTAATGCACTTAGTTTACTTTTTTTTAAAATCTGTTAGTGATTTTTCATACTTAATATTTCATATATAAGGGTTTGCACTGATATTTTTCTATTTGATACATTTTATTAAGTCCATGGCTTCCATGAAAGATATGAAATCTAATATTTAGTGAATTGTGTTTTCACAACTATAGTCAATTTTCATATTACTCGTTAATGGCTAAATTTTATTTCTTTTCTATCATCATTACCATTACAGCCTATCTAAGCCACTGTTGAAGAGAGCTATGAGTCTCCCACATAGATCTGTTCTTGTCTAGTTGCTTTGTTGCACTGCCGATGTGGTCGTGTTACAAGGAACTTGGCTTTATCGTTTAATCGTTCTCGAGAGCATTTTTTTGATAGGATAAAGATGATGATATTAAGTGATTGCATTGGCCCATATACATTTACATTTATCCACGATTACGAATTAAAATGCAGATGCGTTGTCACACGTGAGGGCTAAGATAGAATGCCTCGTTTTCAGTAAAAACTCGTACTTCGTCTTTTATAATAGATGACAACTTCGCTTACACCGGCAAGTCTTTGATTTATACTACTGCTGAGGTACTCAGAGGTCGGCCATACGGAGGGCTAGCTGTACTTTGGAGAAAAGCTGCGTTCTCGTGTGTATCAGTAGTGGAGTGTAACAGTGTTCGTTTAATAGTTATTAAAATTGAACTACGTGATCACCCAGTATTATTAATTTCAGTGTATATGCCTACTGATTCAACGGATAATTTAGCAGAATTTACGGACTGTCTGGGCGAAATAAATGCAATTATTGAAAGCAGCAGCGTTGATGCAGTGTTGTGTTTTGGGTGACTGACGACAACCCAGGTGAGAGTTTTTCGAAGTAATTGTGTAATTTTATCAAATCAAAAATCAAATTTAATTGTACAATTACGGATTAGAAGATAAGCATTGTTTACTAGGTAGTACTTCGTACTCATGCAGGGGATATTCGTCATATCGTCACGTTTAGCAGGCGGATTGACTGTCGCAGTACCAGACGTCTCGCACCTGTGCCGTTGATGTCCGTCACCGCTGATATTTTACATGCAGCATGTAAGCGAGATCACAACACCATTTATCGGAAACCATAAGATGTTTCTCGAATTTTACTAAGTCACCTGGAAACGAGGCATTCCATCTTAATCCTCACGGGTGAATTTTGATTTGTAATCGAGGATAGATGTAGATGTCTATGGGCCGCAGCAACCACTTACCATCAGGTGGACTGTGTGCTCGTTTGTCACCTAATCCTATTAAAAAAAATCTCTTACGACCTATTACGTCGCCAGCACATGGCCTGTTGGCTCAAACATCCTTGACACATTTTAACTTTCTAAACATGCAAGTTTCTTCACAAGAAAAAGAATTTCCTGAAACTTAAGTCGAAACTTAAAATTGCAATTACTGGACTTCACTTTTTCATGTCCTAGTGGTCTTAAACGCGGTTGCAGATCATGACCAGGTTCGAATCCCAGGTCGGGCTGAAATCAGTTGTTGGGTTTTTCTGTCAATAAAATCTCAGTAGCAGCTTGGAGTCAGGAAGTAAGCGGCGTTTCACCCCCGTGGCTCGGAAACCACGTAAAACCTGCGCCTGATCTCTCACCGGTTGTGTTGGGTTGCCGTCCTATTGGACTATGAGAGTAAGCGAATGGAGAGTGTGCCTGTGCTTTTG